CATTGTAGTATTTTATTATATAGATATCGATGAAATACCAGGTTTTCTCTAGTGTCGAAAACTTGATATCTTTCACCAGTGGAAGATACCATATCTTTCACACGTGAAGATATCGCTGTTGAATCGGCTTGCTATATTAATAAAGAATTTTTGAGCTTTTGTTTTATTTAAGTTTCATCGATATCTATATAATAAACAGAACATTACATGGCCGCTTGGAGATACGAATTTTATCTTCTCGTGTTCAATTTAGATATCTCACTCGTTCGCTGCGCTCACTCTTGAGATATCAATTGAACACTCGAAGATAAAATTCGTATCTCCGCRCGCCCATGTAATATCCTCTATGTCTTAGGKGAAGAAATATACAACATAACCAATTTGTTTCCGCGTCAATCTATAGGATAGGATCTAGGAATAGCATATAAGTATAAATCATAATTTAAGACAAGTAATAAAACCAATCACTCGAGCACTGACTGCTATCTTCATATCAAAGTTCAATTAAAAAAAGAAAACCTTTTTCAAGGGAGCCAGCCTCCGACAAATCAAATTTGCAATTTTCGTCTCTTTTCGCGGATTAATTAATCAAAAGATCCGATCATTCATTTCAACTTGTAATTTTGTAGTAAAGTACGACATTTTTCAACTTGAAATTCTGTAGTTAACCATTCAAATAAAGCGATTGCATTTTTCAACTAGCAGAGATACTGCGCTTTTACTTTGATTGAAAAAGTACTTTTTAAAATATTAATTTATTTTTATTCCTGATGGAAAATTCTTTTTTTTTTTTTCAAATTGGCAATAATTTTATTTGGCGTTTTTGAGCCAGACTGTTGAACGCCCTTTCTTTTTGATTGGATCCTCGTATGATATCATTATGAAATGAAAATAAAAATAAATGTGGTGATGTCCATATTATGCATTTGTCGAATTTAGCTGGCTATCAGTTATACCTCGCGTTTAGTACCTAGTGMTTGCAAATCTCTAAGGATAAATTTGACTTAAATTTACCTTCTTTCGTCCATAGAACCAAGATCACACACAGAAACAACATCCTAGGAATGAAATACAAAAAGTTCTAAAGAGAAAGAAATAGGTTTTAAAGAGGTTCGATTTGTGAGTTAGCTGTGCCCTGACTTAGATCAGCCCAGAGGTTGTTTCAGGGTTTGATCTGTTAGTTAGCCATGCCCTGACTTAGATCAGCCCAGAGGTTGTTTCAGGATTCCAAATGAATTCGATCTGCGAGGTTGTATCGAATTCAGGATTCCATAAAACTGACGTTTGAAACAACTCTCGTTCAAAATGTCGAAGAGAGGTAAAAAAGGTAAAATCTCGCCAGAAGAAAAAATATAGTTACCTGAAAGATTTCATCTTGTCTTTAGTCTCTTTTGTGAAAAGGCACTACGCTTTGGAAGCTTGCTTGTTCAATAGAAACGTGAAACTGAAGAAAAGTGGTATTCTGGTCCCATAGAAAAGTTTTAATTGGTCGTTGATCGACACGTACACTTTACATTAATTGGGTTCCACCCATATCGTCTGAAGTGCTTACGTGTATGGATCTAAGAGTAACACGGCTACATTTTAAAAAGATGTATGCGCACGCCTGGGATGATGAAAGTTTATTCTATTCTCGTCTGGACTACATGAGAGCTAAGTTTGTTCAGTGATGCGTTGTTTTTTCCTTCCTTGTCACGAAAGTCTTTCGTCAAACTTCTCTGGTTTCTACTTCTCCATAAAAATAGATATGTGTGAGTTGAGTTCTTTTTGTTTTTTGTTGCTGCGTTGTTCTCTCCCTTGCCACGAGGGTTTTTCTCTAGGTTCTCTGGTTTTCCTCTTTCCATCAACCTGTGAGTTGAGTTTGTTTACTGTGTTGTTCTCTCGCTTGCCACGAGGGTTTTTCTCTAGGTTCTCTGGTTTTCCTCTCTCCATCAACC